TCCTCCTTGCAACCCTTATCTAAGGGGATGTCCAGTTGCCCACAGATGGGCTTTGGGTCCCCAATCTGCACCTCTCTTCATTCATTATGATTTGATTTTTTGTCCTTTGATGCCTGATACCTGATCCCATTGACACCTCATGATCACACAGGCTGGTGTGCTTCTTCCATGTGGTCTTTGTTGCTTCTCAGCTAGATGGCTACTTGTTTACCTTCAAACCTTTAAGAACCCAGATGTTATATCTTTTGATAGCCGGGCACCATCAGCTTTCTTCACCACATTTACTTATGCACTCATTTGTCTTCAGCAATCGTGTTGGGAAGGTGAGCATCATGGAATGCCAGTTTAGTAGAACAAAGTGTTCTTGCATTGAGGGAGTACTTGAGTGGAGGCCCAGTGTCCACCTCGAGGCTGCACTCTTGATGGGAGCAGCCCCTCTCCCAAGACCAGCTGCTGGTCTCCCAGCCACAGACCTTCAGGTTCCAGCCCAGGGCCTGACCCTTAGGCCACCCACCAGAGCTCCTCAAACAGCAAGCTAAATCAAACCAGCCTGCAGGCAGCCTTGACCTGTTTACAAGTCTGGCCAGTGCCCGCCCCTGAGCCTCTGCTGCATGAATACCCCCAGGCAGGCCCTGACTCTGCCCCCACTGACCACAGTCCCCAATTCCCAGGCTCCCCTGCACCCTGCCCCTCATTCCTGCTTGGGGCAGAGAAGCAGGTAGCTCCCCACCCTTCCCACTAACTCCCGATTCCATTCCTGCACCCCACTCCACCCCCAGCCCACCCCAGCCCCCCACCCCACCCCGGCTACGCTGTCAGCTCCCTCGAGTGGTTTCTGCAAGTAGGTGGGGGAAAGCACGTGGCGGCTGGCTCTACCCAGCACACCGCCCTCCCCTCGCTGGGGGCCCTGCCTGGCCTGGCGGGAGACGGCAGGTGGTTCCTGCTCTCTCCTGGGCCTGGCTGGCTGTGTGGGTTTAGGCAACCGTTTGATTTTTTTCCCCCTCAAACCACTTGTCTTCATTGAAATGTCAGAGTTCACAGTGAAACTCAAGATTCCTTGCTTCCCCAGGGACATGGAAGGGGTGGGTGGGGGGGTTTCACAGTCCTGAGTGGCCTCTAAAGCCCTGGGCAGGCGCCCTACAGAGCACCACAGCCCGTGTGTCCCCACTTTATCCTCAGCCCCACAGGAATTAGGGTTTGCAACTCCTGAGACAGACAGACAGACAGACAGACAGGCCGGCAGCGAATGCAGGGGCAGGCGGGGAGGAGGTCTGTGGGGCCTCCAGCACCAGGCTGCGGCAGCCTGAGTGGCAAGTGGCTCCCCTGGGTCTGGGAGCAGGGAGAAGGGGTGGGGCCAGCCCTGTGCAGCACAACCCGTGCGTCCCTGTGCCCCTGTGGGGTGTCTGCTGGATTGTCATGTTATGTGTCTCTGTCCCCCGATTACATTCGACACTGCATCCTGCTGCCTTCTGGGAAACTCCTCCCATCCCCGTGGTCCCTGCTTGGTGGGGAAGTACCTTTGGCAGACTTATTTGGTAATAAGACTCCCCACCAGCCAGAGGTCACTAAGGGCTCTCCGTGCACGGGCCGCTGTAGAGGGTCTTGTCTCCCCAGTGCAGGTACCCCCAGCATCCTGGAGGTACGGGGGAGTAGTCCGTCACCAGCTATGTGGCTACTTTGGGGAGCAGCTCAGCCTGCGACACCCCCGGGGAAGTGGTAGGACTTTAGACTCTTAAGCAAAGGGCAGCTTCTGTAGCTGGAGGTGCCGAATCAGGGGCCTTGGGGTGTGGCCCCTGGCCTGAGCCCTTCACCTGAGCAGGGTCTCACCGTCAGCCACCAGCTAGGTGTCCAGGCACAGACCACCCTCTGGAGCAGGGTCCTTGGTGGCCTCCCTGCCAGCTCCCACCCCTTCTGCTCCCTGGCTGCTGCCCCTGCCTCGGCCCACCTCTTACCTGGTCTATCCCACCCTGCACCCCACCCCCGGGAACCTCAGGGGAGGCTCAGAGGACTTCAGAGGGGCGCATGGACCCCAGCCCTTGAGGACACTGACGACTCACGTCACAACACGTCAGTGCAGAAGCCCCCAGGCTGGCCCTCTGGGGCCCCTGCCCCTCGCTCCCTGCCCACCTGGGATGACCTGTCGGCCCAGGAAGAAGTGACCTGGGAGCAGTTTCAGGGGCCAGGGAGTGGTGCGCATGCTGACATCCTCTCTGTCCCTGCCCTCCAGCCTAGGATAGCCCCCCACCCCCACAGGATTGCTGGACAGGGCTGCCAGTCCTCTGCTGCCCCTGCCCCAGGAAGGGGTGTGGGGTGCTCCTGTCCACATCTGAGGGTTTAATTCACCCCACACAGGGAAGACTCCTTTCCCCGAATCTACAACTTGCCACGTGCCCCCCAGTGCCCACCAGGGGGCAAAGTGCCACCCAGCTCCCACTGCCTCTCATGCCATAGGTTTTGCAGTCAAATGCCCTTGTCCCCGTTCCCAGGGCCACTGTGGATTCAGCCACCGCCTCCCCGCCACACTGCCCCAGTTCTCCCACACATACACACTCCCAGTCATTGTCAGGACAGAGGTGGTGACCCCCTAGGCGTGGATGACCGCCTAGCAGCGGCGCCCAGGCCCCCTGAGCTCTCTCTGCTAGCAGACCTTGCTGCCACCCCCTGCTGCAGGGCCTCCACATGGGCTGCCCCTCTGCCACCCGTCAGTCCCATCTCTGTTCTGGGAGCCCTCTGTCCAAACTGCGGCTAGTTTTTCTCACTGTGAAGTGACAGTGCGGATAGTCTGTCCTCTCCATGGAGAGCAGGCCACATGGGGGAGGGCAGCCAGCTCTGTCCGCCATGGCAGGGCCAGGCCCACCCAGCTCAGAACCTGTGCTCCCAAGCCCCACAGAAATGACTTCTTGGGTCAGCGAGGTCTGTGTGGGCCGGGCGGCATTTGAACCCAGGCTGGTGGCAGGGGCCTTCTCCTCCCTTCTTCCTCCCTCCTGGCAGCCCAGCTTCCCCCAGCCCCCCAGCGCGCTGTGTCCTCAGGCCAGGCTGCCGCAGACTAGTGTGTGCCCATGAATCAAGCTGACGTTTCCATTACCGGCGGGAGACGACTATGGGGCCGGCCGCGGGCTGGCTCTGCGGAGTGGGCTAGGATAACTGCTTATCGCCACCGCTGCTGAGGACGGACGCAGGCCTGGTGACTCACCAAGGCTGGTGGACCGGAGGTTAGGACCCTCTGGGGGTAGAAGGGGCGGTGTGAACCAGGTCCGGGTGCCAAGTGCACAAGCACGGTGGGTGCATGGGGCTGGGTGGTGTGTGCCCGCAGCAGCACCTATGAGTGCGGTCCATCAGGCCCCCAAGCGTGTATAAGGTCCCCCATACGGGCATGGGTAGCCAGCATGCCTGCACATACCTGGGCCGTGTGTGTGCATGGAGGCAAACAGGGCCCAGCATTGCACACAGGTGAACGTGTGTCAGATGCCAGCGGGGGCGGGCTCTGCACCTCTTGATACCCCAAGCTTGGGACACATGGAGACACCTGGGTGAGGGAGGTGTGGGTGCTGAGGCTGGAGACGTGCAGCCCAGTGGGCAGTCAGGAGGGTTGAGAACGCCATGCTGGGGGGATGGAGAAGAGGCCCTTTCCTTCCCTCCCCAGAACCCCTGGAGGCTGCCCACCAGGCGATGTCATCTGCAGGTGAGTCATGCCCTGACAGACACCCACCTGGCCTGCCTGGAAGTGCTTCCTTGCGTCTGGCCAGCTGTCTTTATGCTGCAGGCTGCAGAGCACCGGTGGACCCCTGGCCCTCAGCCCCTGCCCAGCAGGTGGGATGGGTGACACTGAGCTGCCTTGTCCCAAGGCTTCCCCCCTGCCCCTTCCCTTCCCTGACCCTTTGGCAGGGGAGCACAGCCCACGTTGGGGCAGCCACGCACCATCATCACAGGCGACTTGCATGATTATTTATTGGATGCTTTTCTTGAAGCCTGTCTCTCTTTTCACGGAAATGCCTACTGGGGTTCCCCCCGAGCAACGGTGTCTGTGAGTCGTGGCCCGGAGCGCCGCGGTACATTTGTCTACTACACATTTACAGTAGCACGACTACTCAGAGGGGACAGTGCAGCCCATGTGCCAACCGAATCCCCGCCTGCACCCGTGGGGGGGCTGGCTGCACGCCAACTTCAAGAGGACCCTGGCGGGAAGCAGGCACTCTCTCCAGCCTAGATCCTGACGGACCTCATCGCTCCCTAGCCCTGTACCTGCGGTGGCTCCCTCTTGCTCCAAGCCTAACGCCAAGTCCTTGTCCTAGCATCCAAGGCCTTTATGATTCCGCACCCATCTCAGTAAGTCCCCACCTGGGCTGAATGAGTCAGGAATGAATGAATGGCTCAGGCTTGATGAAGGCGCACAGGCATGAGTCAGCGATGACCGGTGTGCACCTCCACTTGGATGTCCCCAAGACTTCCCTCGTCCCCGTGCCCTGCCCCTTGCCTGGGCAGCATCACCAACATGCCAACCCCTCCTAACTTGCTCCTGAACCTGCCCACAGGGCCCTTCCTACTTGGGCTGCACGGAGGATGGGGCGAGGCTCTGCCTATGGCTGCCGTGGCCCTCCTGCACGCAGGCCCGGCCACGGCTGTGGCCTCTGCCCTGGGAGCAAGCTGACACTTCCTGAGTCTTGCGAGTTGGGCTGTGATCAGTAAGGTAAGCAGTTTGATACCACCAGCCTCTCGGAGGCTTTCCACTCCCATAGACAACAGACAGACACATTACAGTCTCAGGAACTCACAGGGGCAGCTCTATCCTACCCCACTGGGTCCCTGTGGGTCAGCATCAACTAGGCGTCCGAGAGTCTGGGATCTTTTAAAGGAGGCTTTGAGACCCCTCCACACGCAGCCCTGAGTGCCACCAACTCTCCTGCCCCTCTTCTCTCTGGCCCTGCCATGGGGACTGTTTTACAGTTTCTGTAGTGCACCCCACTGCACCCTTCCCTCGGTGGCACCTTGACAGCCTCAGTGTCCCAGCTTAAATGTCATTTTCCAGAGGGGCCTCCTGTGACCACCACCCTCCATGACCTCGACCCCTTGCAAGTGCTGCTTTGGGGGCTCCCACAACCCCAACTCGCCCTCCTCGTCACAAAAGCAAACACCCACAGAGCTCTCCTACATGCCTCCCATGCACCTGCTCCTGAGTCTCCAGGACGGCTCTGGGAGGCCGGCTGACTGTGGGGAGGGGCAGGGAGCGAGAGGAGGAGCCAGAACTGGAATGCGGTCTGCCCTTAGAGCCACGTGCCACCGCATTCCCCACACTGGAGTGTCTGCCTTGTGGTCTGTCCTGCTCATCCTGAGCCATGTGAGGACAGACACTGTCGCTGTCTCAGGTGCCTACCACCGTAGGAGCACGGTCGATACACAGAGGATGGCTGAATAATGGGATGCACGCAAGGATGCTTGATGGGTCTGATGTAAGGAAGATGACGATGGATGGACGATATACTTACGGATGGTGATAGGTAAAGGAGAACTAAGTGCTCTGCTCAAGGGAGCCTTTGGGAAAGGCCTGGAAAGAAGTGACCCCTCGGGAGATCACTGAACTCGGTGCTAGGAGTCGTCTTGGTTCAAACTCCAGCTGTGTCCCTGATCCCTGTGACTCCACACTTCCTCGTCTCTAAGATCGGGGCTGTTCCCCAGGCATCGAAGTCCTAGGACTTTATGCAAAAGTGGCCCTAGACACAGGACAAAGGGTCCCCAGGGAGGGTCAGGGCATGGCCCCCTTGACGTGTGGCCTCTCTAAGCTCCTGGCTTCGGACGGCCTTCTAGGGCTTTGCCTGTTGGACGGCCACGCCCTCTGGAACCCGCCCACCTCCACCCCCAGGCCCAACTTTGGTTCTGAGTCCCCTCGGTGCCTGGCCCTGAGTGCACTGGCCTCAACACAGCGAGAAAACGGGTCCACAAGCATTTATTGAGCCCCTGCTGTGTGCCCCAGCCCTCGGCCACCGTGCAGGCTCAGCTTCTCCTCCTTCAGGAAGCTGCCCCTGCCCCCCACAGGGCTCTGCACCTCTGGGCCCCTCCTGAACTTCCCGGCTGGCGGGTGGGTGGCCCAGGTGTCCAGTGGATGATGTCCGTGTCTTTCGGTGCTGGCTGCAGCCAGCAGTTAGGGCTTCCTGTCCCAAAGCTGCTCTGAGACCCAGGAGAAGAGTGGGCCTGGTGGCTCCCACGCAGGAGGGTCGGGCTTGCAGAGGGGAGGTGCCAGGCCAGCGGCAGCCTGACGTCCAGGCCGGGCTCTCCATCACACCCAGTGCCCAAGGACCCAACACTGGCGGTTCAGCTCCGGGGCTTCCTGCGCAGCACTCCTCGGCCAGGAACCCCCCAGGTGTGGATGGTGCCCTGCCAAGAGATAAGGGGGCGTCAGTGGCCAGGCCACCAGTTTCCGCTCCGTCTACCCAGCGCCTCACACGCCCCTGCCCCCATACCATTCGCCAACCCCAAACCCACCCACTCACCTCCCACCTGTCAACAGACCAGTGTCCCTACCCCTTTCCATGTGCACATCTGCCTGGGACCAAACACCCACCTGCTGACCACCTCTAGTTCTCCCACTTAACTATCCAGCACTGCCCTTCACCCAGACGGCTGTCCCTGACCCTACTGTGTGCCCACACACCTTGAAGGTGGACGAGAAGGCCACTCCCCCAATGTCTGGCCTTCACTCCCCTCGCCAGGCAGTGAGCATGCTCAGACTGCCCAGAGCTGACTCAGAGCCTCTCCCTGTTGTGACCCCTCCCAGCCACCTCCCCCATGCTCCTCATGGTGTGGGGCAAGAGCAGGGCCTGGGCAGTCCCTCCTGTGGTCACACTTCTGTGTGTGCTCCTGCGCCTCTGGTACTCCCTGCCTTCCCTCTGGTTTCTCCCCAGGGCCTTTGGCAAGCCCTGCACGACGTGCCTGTCAACCTGGCCTGGCCATCAAGGGCTCTCAACCCCCTAGGAGGCTGACCGGCTCTTCTCCAGTCCCTGGGGCTCTCCCTTCCCCGGAGTACACCTGGCCATCTGCACCCTTGGACCAAGCTTAGCCCAGCGGAACTATGGTGTGAGGGGGGGGGGGCAGGAAATGGGCAGTTACTCCGGGTTCCAGAGGCAGAAACGGAGACGCCTACACAAGGCATAAGGTGCTGGCCTGGTGGACCTGGGGGGATGACCTCTTGGATTCCAAGTGTCAGCATTCAAAAGCTCTGTTCTTTCTCTGGAGCCGGGTGGTGGCGTATTGGTTCCTTGTTAGGCTGCTAACGGCAAGGTCAGCAGTTCGAAACCACCAGCCGCTCCTCGGGAGAAAGATGAGGCTTTTTCCATCCATTGTTAGTCCGGGGCACCCACAGGGGCAGTTCTCCTGTCCTATGCTGTCCTGCAGGGTCGCTGTGAGTCAGTGCTGCCTCAGGGCAGGGGGTTTGATAATGGCTCCCCAGGCAGACCTGTCACCCTCTGGGTCACACGGGCTCTTTGTAGGAGGCTGCTGGACCTCCAGCAGACCAGGAGCTCCATGCTCCCACTCTCCCCACTGCAGTGCGGCCCAACCTTTCTGCAGTCTCCCAGAGGGTGCAGGTGCCCCTAGGGGTGTGTGTGTGTGCACGCAGGCAGGTTTCCGTTGCTCCCCACCAGCTTCCATCTCTCTGTGAGAGTCCCTAGTCCTTCAAGGGGGGTGAGGAATGGTTTACAAACATTGTGGAATCCTGCTGCCTCACAAGGAAGACATCTGTTTGGGCCTCAGAGGTAGAAACATCTCCTGCCAAAACAAAGGTGTGTGGGAATTTTGTTTTCTCCCCTTTTTTAATCTAGAAGCAAATATTTGGTGCCCGGGAGGGTTGGGCTGTTTTCCTAAGTGATTATTTACAAGTGGGGGCCGCTCTGGTCGTCGGCAGCAAGCAGAGAGCCCCGGAGAGGTTTCCACCAGAACGGAGAGGGAGGAGGCACGTGTTTGTGGGGACAAGGGGCCACCCCCCACCTTCGTGTAGTTTTCACCTTCCGTTTAATCAAACCTCAGTGCCTTTGGACCTAGGGACTGAATGACTGAGGGAAGAGGGGCTCTCTCCTGGTGGCCGTCGGGGCCGTTCACAGTTCCAGAGGGGCTCACCCCTCCCCGAGCCAGACGTGCACCCTCACTCTGCCCACAGGAGCCTGCCCCCTTCCCCAAGACCCTTTGCTCCTGCGTAATTCTCCAGCCAGCAAATGGCCTCCTGCTATAGACTGAGGGAACCACCCAGGCATCTCCTGCACCCCAGCACACAGCGTCTCCGATGACAGCGCCCCGAGGTGGCCACTCTGAAGTCAGCTGTTACCAAGGGGAGTGACGCTCTGGGTTTCCAAATGAAATCTCCTGGCCGGGCAGCGATGACAACTAGGGTCAGAACAAGCACGTTTTGCATGTTCGGTGAGCCAAGGAGCAAGACCCACCCCCCACCCCCGGGAAGCTGGTTTGGGAACCTTGGACCGTTTGCCAACGTGCCTCTTCCTTCCACGGGTCCAGTCATGCCAGCCCCCTTCCCGTTTGCATGCCCAGTGTGGTGACACAGCAGGGGCCATGAGAGTGAGGAGGGGCTGCTTTGCCCAATCCTTAAGTGTCCCGCCTCCCCCAGCGTCTGGGTGGACACACAGTGAGTCCTGAGCTGACTGGGCAAGCAAACAGCATGCTGGGGACCCACTGGGTGTCACACTCCGTACTGGGGGCCTCTGCTCCGGACACCCGCAGACTAGCGAGGAGACAGACTTGGGGACATGTAGAGAGAGGGCGACCTGAACATGCCTACAGCTCTTCCTTCCTGGGCGGTCCACAGGAGAGCTAGGTGTCCTCCTCACTCCACTAACTGCCCTCGGGTCAATTCCGACTCACAGCGACCCCATAGGACTAAGCAGCACTGCCCCCCCACCCCCCCCATGGGTTTAAAAGGCCTCATCTTCCTCCCACAGGGTGGCTTTGAACTGCTGCCCTTGCAGTTCGTAGCAGCCCAGCACCACTGGGGCTCCCCCTAGTTCACAGAGGAGGAGCTTGGGCGCCCGAGCCGGAGGTCTGAGCCCTGGATTTGCGCCCTGCCAGACTCACTCCAGTGGCCAGTTCTAACCATCAGGCAGCAATGTCCCGCTGCCAGAAGGTTGGTCATCTTGCCTTGGGCAGGACATGGGGCTGGCCCAGAGCCCGCATTTCACCTGAGGAGTCATCTCGAGAAGGCAGGGCCCGTGGAGGGAGGGGGGAGGTTTAGAGGGCTGCAGCTGCAAAGGATTCTGGGTGTCAGGAAAACAGGCCCCGCAGACCCCCCTCGGGGCTACAGGCTCCATCCTATAGCAGACTCATAGGAGACAGGCTCCTAGGCCCTCCCGAGCCAAGCAACAGAAGCCCCAGGAAATCTGTATTTCAACAACTGCCCTGGGTGTTTGCTGGGGTCATCCTGGGGAGCAGTTTGTCTCTGTTCTACAGGGCAGCTGTGGGCCCGAAGCACCCCCATGTTAGTGGGTGGGGTGGCTTGGGCATGTGTGTGCTTGCCTCACAGAGCAAATCCTTCACACTAACTGATCCCCTACTATGTGCGGGCAAGGCAGGCATGGTCATCTCTTTGTGAAATGTCCAGTCCAGTGAGGAGAGGCGGGAGACAGCAAGTTGGCAAAGGCAAGTTCAGAGCGGGGGCAGGACAGTGAGAGAAGGGTTTGGGGGGAACTTGTGGTGGCCTGCCTGGTAGCCAGTAGCAGTGCAGGCTGTGATGGGGGTTCAGAGCTCCAAGCAGGTGGGGAGACATGATTGAGTTGGTGACTCAGGAGGGTAGGCTGAGCCATGCCAACCAGTACTAGCCCAGGCTGGCTCCCAGCAGGGCATCAGAGGAAAGATGTCAGCCCATTGAGCCTTGCTGATCAGAACCCGGCTGGCGGGGGGTGAAGAGGGGGCAGCAGCTTCCCCAGGACCTTGTCAGAAACACACACTCCCAGGCCCCAGCCCAGACCTACTGCATCTGGAAGGCAGGGGGCCAGGACCCAGCAGCCTGGGCTCAGGAGAGGTAGGCCACCGTTGGCCGATGCCTTCACACCACAGAGCCAGGGGCTAGAGCCTCGCCAAGCTGCAGGCCCATCTGTGCTCTGAGCAGGTTGGCATGGATATTTGTTTCCGAAATAGTGTCTGTTTCCATTTTAATAAAGGAAGCTGCCCCAACAGCAGTCTATTGGACTGGATTTTGAGCTAATAAAAATGCCAAGTTGCTCTGGGTCCAGTCTTCCTTGAAATTCTCCCCGATATTCCGGGGCAGCAGTGGCAGAGGCCCGTCTAGACAGAGCTCCCAGAAGCCTTGCCAGGGCTGACAAGTGACAGCTCTCACCCGGGCTGGCCTTTCTCCAGCATTGAACTTGACAGGTGCAATCAGGACCAAAGCCCATCGGTCCCGAGAGGAGGCTGCAGGCACCTGGACCAGATGGCGGCGCCACCTCCATCAAATGTCATATCTGATGTGCTCCGCCGGACGGAGCTGGTGGCTCTGCAAAGCCCCAAAGGTGGGTTTCAAAGGCAAACTCTTTCTTGGGAGTGGGGGCAGGGTGGGTGGGGCACGGGGGATCACAGTAGTAAGGGGAGCAGTGAAGGCGGCCAGTGACTGAGGGGATGGATGGTGGTGAGGGACTTGGAGGTTAGCGTTACAGCTGAGCACCTACTCGGTGCCTAGTCTCAGGAGAGGTGCCTGTCCTAATGGAACTTCATGGAGGGAGACAAACAGGAAATGAGTCAAGTAAATACACGTGAAGGTTACTTGAGAGCCGGTTAAATGGTCTGAAGGAATATAAATACTGGGAGAGTGACCTTTCGACGGAGACGTACAGAGGAGACAGTGGGAGCCATGCGAGGATTTAGGGGGCGCATTGCAGGTGGAATGGGCAGTGCGTGCGAACGCCCCTGTGACTGGAGGTCCTACGGGCCAAAGGGGGGCGGGGGGAGAGACAGATCCAGCTTGCCACAGAGTAAGGAGGGGACATCCCTCTGTCCCCAGGGCCGCCATGCCTCCAGCTGGGATGTGCTCAGCCCAGACCTGCACTTGGCTTCCTCCTACCCGGCTCCGCCTGCCCGCAGCAGAGCAGCTGCTGGTGCAGAAATATGGTAGGGCTCATCCAGGCAGTTCCAAAATATCTCCTTGGCCAAAAACTCACGAACAGCTAAGAGGCCACTGACTGGGGGCGAGCTTGTGAACCTCGGTGGCTGGTCAGAGCCGGCCTGAGGGTCCCTGCTCATGGCCCAGCCTCGCAGATGGACCAAGCCCAGCAGGGGGAGCTGTGGGCTGGGTGTAGGCACTCGCCTGATGGGCTGGTTCAAATCCCAGGTCTGCTACTTGCTGCTGTGTGATGGTGGGCAAGTCCCTGGACCTCTCCTCTCTGGGTCTGTTCCCTACCTGTGACACGGAGCTGTGTTTAAGATGAAGGAGGGAAGTCAAGGAAAGCCCGCAGATTCGATGGAGGTAAGGGGATGCAAGTGGAATGAAGTTCTTCTGGGTAATCGACTCTCTCGGGGTCACAAGGCTGTTGAATTCCTTCCAGGGTGGCTCACTCCTGCCCAATCCCAGGACCCCTCCCCCCACTCATCCGTCCTGTGCTGACCCGCAGGGCGCTCCCCACTGTGGGACCCCGTCCAGAGCAGCGGGCACAGCCAAATATTACATCGTTAAAACGGCCCATAGGACCCTCAGCTCTGATACAGTGGGGCCTCCTGCCCCCTCCCCCTGTCCACCGGCACCCCAGCACCTCGCAGGCCGATGGGGAGAGGTAGCTGTCCCTGCAGAGGCCTGGGCACCCCGTGAGCACACTGGGCTGCTTCCCAGTAGGCATGGATCCCAGTGCAGCCACTCTGGCACCTCTGTCCTTGGCTGCATTTAGAGAGCACACAGCGGGCCTCTGGGGCCCTTCGCCCTAAGGACAGTGGCATCAGGCCCTCGATTCTTGCCCACACTGCCCCCGTTAGCTCCTCAGCCCTCTCCCAGTTACCTCTGGACACCCACCCACGCCTTCGCAACTCGGTCACCCTCACTGCCCCATGTAGAATACCACGGAGCCCCTCCCTTGGCTCAGAGGGCAACTGGCTCTGGACCCCTCAGGGAACTCCGAACCCCGTGATTCCATGGAGGGGGCTGAGGTGTCCACACAGGGGAAGCCCCCAGGCCCAGGGGGCAGTTCTCGCAGCTGAGCTTCCTTCCCCAAAGGCCTCTGAGCCCGGGCCTGACAGCACCTGCTGTAGCTGCCCCTCCACTGACTTGCCAAGCTGTGTGGCCCAGGGCAACTGGCTCTACCTCTCTGAGCCTGGTTTCCTCCTCTGCAAAATGCGGAAGCAGTGGTCCCAGCAGCGGGACCCTCGGGCTTCTGAGAAGCCCCAGAAGAGGCTGGGAGGCAGGAAGGCCCAGGTCAGAACAGCAGGCTGAGCCGAGCTCCGAGTCGTGTGGCTTCTCTCGGCTTTCTGGTTCAGGAATTTGTTTTCCGAGAGTGCCCCAGATTCTGCCTCGTGGTCTCCCCCACAGCAAGGTACATGAAATCAATGCATTCTGGGCTGCCAGCAGCTTCCCGCAGCACAGACACATCCTGTCCAGCGCCACCTCCTGACTTGGCGAATTCTACCTGGGAAAGCCCTCCTGCAACAAACCCGGCCTGACTTTACTGTGGCTTCCCTGCGACAGACCCCACCCTCCCTCCCTCCTAGTGCTGGTCCTGAAGCCAGCGGCTGCTGCAACAGGGGAGGCACGCCTCTGAATTTCTCCTGCTCTAGTGTGTGTGTGGCATATGGGGCTGCTGATGGCAAGGTTAGCAGTTCAAAACCACCAGCTGCTCCAAGAGAGAAAGACGAGGCTTTCTACTCCCATAAAAATTCAGTCTCAGAACCCCCTGGGGGCAGCTCTCCCCCATCCTGTAGGGTACTGGGGTGAGGCGGGGAGGGTTGTCTGGCTCATCCCCAGGGGCTCTCCCGCCTCAGGCAGTCCACCATCTGCAGACCAGGCCCTGGTGACGGACAAGGCCACTTACGGGTGAGGTATCTCTCATGGCGGCAATCTAAGCGCAGGTCCTCCTCCTCAGTCCCGTCCCCCTTCTCGAGCCTGCGAGGAGAGACAGAGGTCTGTGTGAGAAGCAGGCTGAAGCATCTGGAGAGCCGTTTACCCCGTGCCTCGCGGGATTGCTATTACAGTCATTGGTCCACCTTGAAGGACGGAGGCAGTGGGAGATGAGGTGGCCACCCTGAGGACACAGCAGGCACACAGCACGGAAGGGAGACAGCTGGCTAGGTGCCAACGGACTCCAGCAGCCTGGCCCTGCTCCGACTGGAGCCCATGTGCTGTGAGCACCACGGGGGTTGCTCGGGCTGCCAAGGCAAGGTGGAGGTCAGCACCTTGAAGCCACAGCCACCTGGAGGAGGAGACCCAGGGCTCCACACTCCGGTGTCCCGGAGTACTGGTCCCAGGAGCCCCGGAGGGTCGTCCGGCGTCAGCACGGACTCGGTGGCAGTGAGTTGGTTTTAGTTTTCTCAGTGTCTAATCATCTACTGATTAAGCTGCACACTGTTTGGTCTTAAATTTCAGGAGCGACTCTTGGTTCCAGGCTTAACCGTGACTTCAGGGCAATCATTTCAGGAGTCCATCCTACCTCCAACACTCCATGGCTGTACCCCTGTATTAGCTGGATGCTTTTTCTAGAGACCCTTCTATAGCCATCCAGCAAATAAGCCCACATGGATGAAACACACCAGCGCGGGCGACCGTGAGATGTCGACGGGACCAGCCATCAGCATCGAAGACCCAACACAAAGCAATTATATCGATGCGAACCAGGGGGGTTGGAGCGGAGACCCAAAGCCCATCTGTAGAGAATTGGACATCCCACCACAGAAGTGGTATAAGGAAGGGATGATTCAACCAGGGTGCAGTATAGCACCGAGGAATCATTCCCCTAGTTCCTGTGTCCTGCCACCACCACCCCCCGCCCCCCGCAACCACTACCATGACCCAGTTCTAACTTAAACAAATCTGGTTAACCTGGAGAACACACATTGGTACAGATAAGAGTTCTGGACACAAGGAATTCAGGACAGGCAAACCCCTCAGGAACAGTCATGGAAGTATTGATGATCATGAGGGATAATATATATATATATATACATACATATATGTATAAATATATATCCCAAGGTTGGATATATAGCCCCTAGCCAAGGGGACAAATAACAGAAATGTGGGTGAAGGGAGACAATGGGCAGTGTAAGCTACGAAATTATAATTGATCAAGGATTTATGAGGGTGGGAGGGAAGGATACCAAGGCCTCAAGTAGAAAATGTTTTGGAAATAATGAGGGCAACATAGGTCCAAATATACTTGATCCAACTGATGTATGGAATGTTATAAGAGCTGTAAGAACCCCAATAAAATGGTTAAAAAATAATAAAGACCCTTCCACAGATGATCAAAATCCTGGTCTTCTGGCTTCCAGCCACGACCTTTCCCACCCGGAACCACCAGGGTGTCAGCGGGTCCCTTCCCTGGCATTCTCAAGGTCCCTGTTCCCGGGGGCTGGCGGACCGGAGACGGAGCCTGCCCCTCGGCCAGGGGTGTATAGGGCAGAGGCAGCTACAGAAGCCCCCCACGGTTCTGGACCCAGACAGTAAGCCCTTTCTGCCAGCGGCCGGGCCAGAGGAGGGGCGGGACCAGACGCACTCATTTATAACCCAGATCCGCGCCAGAAAACCACAGGGCCCGGCCCAAAGCATCATGTTTACAGAAACGCGGTCTGTCCCCCCAGAGTAAAAATAAGTCCCGTTGCTACTCTCTCTCTTAATGAAGACCGACGGTCCTCTGAGTCTGTCTCCAGCCACGCCCCTTGGTGCATTGCCAACATCAAGCCTGCCAACAGTGCCCGGCCTTCCTCTTCCAAGTCTCCCGTTGTGCCCTCGGCATAGCTCTTCCTGAGTTGCCACCCTTCCCTCATGGGAGACAGTCTTGACGCATTCCCCAAACACTCCTTCTTCTCTTTCTGATTCTTCCCACCTCTTCTCCCTAACTGTGTGGGAATGGCTAGGGCTCGCCAAATGGAACGATCGCATGGACCTACATGCATCCCTTCAGTCCTGTCGGACCGTCCGATGGTTTGCTCACCAGGAATTCCCGTCGGACCTGCTCTGCAGAGTTTGAAGAAGGTTAGCAGGCAGGATAGAATGGGCAAACCTTGTAAACATCAGCCAACGTGGTGAGCCACGACCTCTGGGCTCTGCCCTCACCATGGGGCGGCTGCCACAGACCCCACAGATGCACACAAGCATGGCTGTTTCAGTACAACTCTGTTTACAAACGGAGCCCCGGAGCAGTGCGGATGGGCAGCCCAAAGGGCAGAAGCTGCACCCTCCCTGGAGTGCCTCGGAAGAAAGGCCTGGTAACCTGCTTCCAGAAAAGCAACCACTGGGCAGAAAGCCCACGGAACGCAGTTCTGCTCTACCAGGCACGGGGTCTCCATGCATCTGGGGAGACCCCATGACAACAGGTGGCTTATGTACACCCACAGGAAGGGGTGGGCCTGGGTCTGTTCTAGCCCCGTGGTGCTCAGCCTTGGTTGCACACTGAAATCACGGGGAGAGGCTGAACAGTAGCCCCAGGGGTTCTAGCATGGAGCCGAGGTTGAGGATCACTTGTGAAGTTGTGAAGGGGCCTCCCTGAGGAAGCCTGGCACGCTCATAGCCAAATCTCATCTGTCTGGCTCCCCACTTTGCTGGACAGCCCTCCCCCAACCCTCCCTACCTCCTCCTCCAACACAAACACGGCTTAAGTCACAGGCCTGCAGGACCTGCAGGATCCAGGCAGCCTTCCACCAAGTGACTAAGCCTTGATAGGGACCAGGGTAACGACCCTTTGCAGGGCCAAGGTGCCAGAGAGTAGCGCTTCCTGCCAGGAAGCATGCAGCCCGCAGGAGTCAGAACATGACCATGCAGTGAGGCTGGTGGAGCGGAGCCTTAGCTCTGTGCCAGATGGCGTGACCTTGTGCCCGTTCTTTGGTGGGTGCAGACAGACGTACTAGGGGCTGCTCCGTTTGGCTGCAGTCATATTCAAGGTGACCTCATGGATAACAGGAGGGGATTCCGCCTAGTCCCTGGGCCGTCTTCATGGCCCTGTGAGCATTACGTCCACGGCGACCAGTCCATCCACCCACCTCGCCGAGGCCGTCCCTCGTTTTGGGTGACCCCTACTTTATCAGACACTATGTCCTGGCTATTGGTCTTTCCTGGCCGAAGTGAGCTAGGGGAAGCCTCACCATCCTTGTGCTCAAAACCACCCCAGCGGCATTTCTTCCCAGACCGATGGGTGCCTTTGGCTGGCAGGCCACGGTGTATTGGAGACTCTCGGCCATCTCCACTGTCGGAAGGGGTCCGTTCCCCTCTCTCCATTTTCACTGTCCAGCGTTTGCAAGCGTGTGGAGACTATGGAATAAGCGTAGCCTGCGTCAGGCGCCCCTCAGGCATCCAAGTGACCTCTCTGCCTTTGATCATGTCTCAGTGGTCCTTTTCAGCAGACTTGCCTGAGGCAGGTGTGACTTCTTACCTCTTGCTTCCACGAGAAGCCATCCAGTATAAGCACCACTGCCCCGGGCCACAGGGCACGGGCACGGGCCCTGGCCCAAGGTAAGGGCTCAGGACCTGGTCCTTGTCGTTCTCTTGAACTGGTTTGATAAGCTGTCTTTCAGCACTACGCTGGTTGGTCTTCGTTTCCTAGGCCGCCGCAGCAAAATGCCACAAAGTCAATGATGTCGAAGAACGGAAATGCATGGTCTCACAGTTCTGGCACTAGACATCCAAATCGGGGCATCAGCCAGGTGGAGTCCTTCCAAGAGCTCGACAGAAATTGTGCCCTGCCTCCTGCCTTCCTCCTGGTGGCTCCTGGCAACCTTTGGCTTCCATCTGCCTCCACGACCTACGGACAGCTCTCTGTCTGCCTCTTCAAGGATGTTCTTTCATAAACCGCGCCCTTGGATGGGATGAGACCCACCTCAGGTTAACGGATAATACCTTCAAACACCCCTGTGACAAACAGAGTCGCTCTCATAGGGACCAGGCGTTAGGACTTCAGGTAGTCTCTGGCAGGACTGCTATTGCCATCATCCTCATCGCTGGGGACCCGTCTGGTTCTGTTACTCGGTGACCTCCAGCCCACAGTTCCCGCCATGGGGGCACATTATGTTAAGGCGTCCCTCCTCCTGCCGTCCTCAACACACACGTCCCTTTCGCAGCAGTTGGAATTCACGTCAATTTGAAGACGTCTGAGAGTGGAGGGGTGGAATCCAACCTGTCAATCAGGTCACAGCCTGGTGATGCTGTCCTTGGAGGGCGGGGCCATCTTAGAAGGAAGAAACTGGGAACTTTCCCCTCTCTGGCACTTTGCCTCCTCCCTCCTCCCTGGGACTTCACTGGCACTCTGCCTGTCTCCAGGGGCAGCCCTGGGCAGGTCACCGGGCCCTCAGAGCGCTCGGGCCCTGCCAGGTTTCCACCGACTTTGGATCCTGCGACTCAGTACCTACCCTCCTGTGAGCTGCCCGTCGGCATCATCGGCCTGCAGCTTGACAGTCTGAAGAGGGGCGCAGGGACTTGAGTTGGACTGGGCTGGGCTGGCTTCTCCATACAAGATTACTTCTCCATAGAAAGCTCTTTCATACCCACAGATGAGTGTCCCTGCATTTGTTTCTCTAGACGACCCGGCCCAACACAGCTTCCCCCCACGGTCACTTAGACCAGGACTGTGGCCTCGGGAAAGGGGCTCCGGGTACAGCAGGAGAAGGCTCCAGAGCAGAGCGTCCTCAGAGTCCCACTGCAGCCTTCCACCCGGGACCACACAGAGCCCAGCGCTGGAAGCGAGGAGTCATCATGAACAGGTGCTGCGGTGCCCCTGGGTGCGGCAGCGACACTGCGGGGCCTGCCTGACTTGTGAGAAGAATAAACATCGATGTTAGCTTGGACCTGGTTGTGTTGGCTCTGTTTATACCCAAACCTGCGTCCTAACCCATAAAGGAGCTCATCGCAGGGTCACCACCACCACCACCACCACCATCCTCTTTCCCATCTTACAGATGTGAAAACTGAGGCGAAGACAGGCTAGCACCTGCCCGAAGTGCAGTGTCTCGAGCTGGCTTCCCACGAGGGAAATGAGACCTGCTGGGCAGCTTGTCCTATGCCATGACTGGCTCGAAGCTGCCACATCCAGGTCACGTGGCCCGTGATAGGGAGGTTTATTGTACCAACCTGCCCAATAGGAACATGTGGGGTTAGTCAGGTCACAGTTTGATTGGATGGCAAAGAGATAAATGGCTCTGGCGATCAGAGCATGCTGGAGCGTGGGTGCTGCTGCTGAAGCTAGTTCTCTGCCTCAACCTCCGAGCTACACCACCTGTGGGCCAGGCCAAGCTGTGGATCGTGTTGCTAGAGCTTGAGGCTCCTTAGAGACCTGCTTTGCCACGCTACTGACGTGTACATCACTAGAGGCTGTCGACCTGTCATCTTGCATTGGATAGATATCTCAGCCGGGCCTGCTTTTGGTGACCCTCCCTGATGCCTGCTGTCTGGGGGCAGACTCTGCCTGCCTTGCCCAAGGGAGGACTCCGCTGTCTGCTTCCTTGACCTTGGACCCAGCAGCCCATGTGAGTTGAAGGACTTCCAGTATTTTAACTGTTCCACAGAAGTGAGTTAAACTGAGCCCTCTGTACTGCTGTGTGGTCTAAGTAGCTGTTATATTCCTTCTTGCTGTATAAATCTATCTATATAAAATCCTAAGTGTCCTGGTTTCATTTCTCTAGAGAACTCTGCCTAACACAGCCCAGACACACGCTGGGGAACAGGTGTGAGCCATGGGCTCCAGGGAGCCCGTGGGGCTGGCTCAGGCACATGCCAACAGGGACTTGAACTCAGGTGGATTGTGCCTGGATTCCCCAGCCCCAGCCGGAGGCATCCTGCGTAGTGAGATCCTAATGGAGGGGGTGGTTGGAAGCCACCCGGCTCTGGTCCTA